GCTCTTCCGCTACTCGCGGCCACGCATCGCCCCTCATCGCGCATTCCTCGCCCGATCGCCCGAGAACGCATTAAGGAGTGCGCGACCTCCCCCCCCTCCCCACCCCTCCCTCCCCCGCCTGCCCACCCTTCGACCAACCACCAAGGCAACGCGGCCCAGTTCAGCGGCCGGAGCCTCTCACCATGACGTCGTCCTCGTCGCCCTGACTCTTTTACACCTAAAGCGGTGGACCGTTGGGAGGGGCTGTCAGGGAGGGAGGGACTGGCGTCGCGTGACCGATGCCGCTACCGCTGACGCTGCGACTGCGGCGGCTTTCCCGTCCGCTCGCTCCTATTATCGCCAACGTCGGTTTCTTTCGATTAGTCGCACTCGGTCCACCGCCACCCAGCCCTCCCCCCGCCTCGCCGCACCACACCACGCTGGCCCTCTGGCCGCTTAATTGCTGCGTGAAGCGCGAGACGTGGACCGTTATTATCATAGTTTAAGGAAGAGTTACGATCGCGCCTGAGCGAATTGTTAATTGTACCGCTGGATGCTGGGGGAGGCCCAAGGGGATCGGAGCCTCGAGGCCGACATACATCCACGTATTTGCATTGCCTGATGCGTGATTGGCGGCCACTTCCGAAAGATGACGCGTCCGTCCGACTTTCACTTTTCCTCTCTTCTTCCTTCCTTACTTCCTTCCTTCCGATAGCTTCACGGCTCACGACTTGTTCCGCGATCGGCGGTACGGGGGACACGCGACGGCGTGTTTATTCATCGCCTACTTATCCTTATCCTTATTCTTAAGCTGTTGGCACCTTATTATTTATTATTGGCGTAAAATTGAAATTGGAGTGGTTGAGTTATGGGGATGTTGAGAGAACGATTGTCCGATTACGAAACCACCGGGTATATATGAGCGCAATCGTGTAATTGTTCATCATTGGAAAATATGCATATAATGCATAATACGAGCGTTAAACAAATTTTCGCAAAATGCCAAGGCAACTTCAGCCACAATAACATCTCAAATAAGTGTCATGACGCGTCGTTTCTCGCTATGCCTACACTACACCCACGCGCGGAATAATAATTCTATTTGCTTAAAAGAACCAAACTGCTTTGGGTTTCTTGAAACGACTTTTCAATCTGATTAAGCAGTGGTAAGCAAAACTGCCAATTAAAAAGGCAAAAGGCCGTTTATGCGAGAAATTGGACGATAAGCCGATATAACATGAAAAATAGAATTCGTTCCCCTGCATTTATCAGCACTTCCGACCAACTAAATTTTTATGCTCACAGGCCGAAAGTTAAATTGTGGATCCGAGGGAATCTTACTCGTTAATTTCTTCATTATCGATGAGCTTCGATGAGAGATATCGATAATATGCGGCGTCGTTCAAGGGAAAAAGACGAAGGAAAAGTCATGAGTTTGTTTAGTAAGATCCTCCTCGTACTCCTCCTCCTCGTCCTACTCCTCATGCTTCTCATCCACAATCGACCAACGTGATATGTAAACGTAAATAAATATTTCAACAGTTTCATTTATTCATTAGTTAGGTCACTGCTGTCCAGCTTGAAATACAAAAGCTTAAAACAAATTGGTGATTGTTGGCCTTAAATTTGGCAACCCCAATACCGCTTTCGAGCAATAGAAATTGATGGCTTTTAGGCTGATTAGAGTGGCTAACTGGCTGGTACATGTGTTCGAACACCCTGGACGTATCAAGTTTGCGCTGGATTCACCGGCAGGGTTGGAGGGGCATAGGCAGAGATGTCGCGGCACCTTCGGCGGAAATGATATTATTTAAGGGCAGTGTAATGTGACGAGCAGGAGACCCTTTGCGCGCGTTCACCGATAGTACGGATTGAGGCTTGTGGTCATCGAGGTGTTTTATGTTTTCGGGCGGCGGCGGCGGCGGCGGCAGCGGCAGCGGCAGCGACGGGGATCAGTCGGATCCTCGATCGCATCACGGTTACTCGCGTTCGTGAAGGGAAATTGCGGTCCACGTTCACGGTACGTATTGACGTTGAGAGAAATTTTGTTTAGCCGTCATAATTCTTATTGTTGGCGATCTTCACTGATTCTTCGTTTCGTCGAGGTTGTTACAGGCGAGGTTGGCTAAATGGATGGAGCAGCGGAGTTGGTGTTTACATTGGCGAGAAGCGAAGCGCAACGAGACGCAGCTTCTACTTGATTGTATTTGTTGGCGGATGATTATGATCGTTCGTCCCTGACTACCACGTGGCTGTCTCGGCCTTTTGAATTATGATGTTTTTGACGTTTAGGGTGACGAGTGACTCGAGATACTCGGGTAGGCTGTAGCTGCATTCTTTTAAATGCTTTTATTTCTAACTTATTATTTTACAATTTTATAAGCTAACTCGATGCTTTCTTCCAAGCTACAATTTATATTTATTCTGCTATATTTTATCGCTAGCATTGTATCATTGAATTAATTAATTTTGCCAAAACGATCATTCATTTGATTTTCAGACAATGTTTCTATTTCCTCGTGTGCGCTTTATCCTGCAAGTAATAATTGCTTATCGAAGATGAGGAGATAAAAGTACTAGGACACCCATGTTCAATGCCATAAGATTCAGTCAATTTAATGATCAGATCAAACAATAATCAATTTGATGAGCTATTTAGATAATCAGGTTTGTATGGTAGGTGCTTTGAATATGTTATTAAAAATTATATATAACTTTGTCTCTCTTACTGGAAATAGGAATGTCACGCCATCAAGCATAATTCTTGACAGCTATGGGACTGTATTTTCATATGGGCTTGCAACTTCCTGTAACGAAAATGCTTGAAGCGACGGTGTCCTTTGTTTGATTTGTATTGTGTAGGTCAAGATCTCATTAAGTTTATCGAGATCATCGTGGACCTCAGTGTTAGGTATTATCCTTACAAGTGTCTGCTATAACACTGTGTCAGCCTGATACTTCCGACGTAGCACTGGATTTTCATTGAAACATCTTTGAATGACAGAACCTAAGGCAAATAAGCTAGAATACGCTAAACTGAATAATGTAACACTTTCAATACAAACTTGTTATTTGTTGTGACAAAAAACTCATGTTTTTTTTCAACCTGTCAGATATTCTCTATGGATAGTATCTATACTTTTGTAAAACTATAAATATATGAGATGAAAATATTTGTTCTATTTAATTTCTTAGTCCTTCCTAATTAGTGTTATCAACCATGGAAACATGTTCGTTTAAGCTTCAAAACTATATATACACAAATATATATACGTACATATATTAAACAGTTATGACCATAATCTTTCACTAGCTTTTTAAATTTCAACTGTACTGTCACTTCTACACATTGTAATACATCATGTGCATCGTAACAATTATTAATTTTCACTGGAGAAACAAAGGGAATCCCTTCGCGACGGCATATCCACGTAAGAGCGGAGTCAAAAGAAGTTAAAATTGTATCTTCAATGAGTAAACAGAAGAAAAGAAAAATAAAGTATATTTAACTTCGGGGAATGTAATTTTTATATTACTCATATAATACATAATATAATATCTTACGTTAATGTTCGAAATCTAAGAGAAAAAAAGGGAGTATTTAACATTTTTACTTCTCATCGACGTCAATTAATTTCAAATCCTCCAGTGAATTTTTTCGTCTGACATTAAAAATTACTTCCAACGTGCTCCATATAAAATTTTATAATTATAAGTAATAACTAACAGAGTAAGTCCTTTAAGAATTATAGTAGTAATTCTTTATGAGAATCAATCGTATATTAGTAGCTTCTTTAATTTTTTAGATTTTAGCAAAATAAAAATTAATTGAACAAATTTATGCTTCGACAAAGTTCTTATAAAGCTTTACGCGATTCTAATTTCATGTTAAATAACAACTCGTAATTATTATAATTATTATATTATTAAGAACATAAAAAAATGAAAGCAAACAATCTCATTTATAATTAAGAGTCGGTACATTATAAAAATTCCATTATTAAATCTCTTGTTTAATAAAAAAAAAAAAAAAAATTATTTACCCATAATTTACAAATCCAGCTTGCACGAAATTATATTTAGTTACATTTTTATTAGACCCGAATTACGCAACAGTCAACCAAACTTTGATTTCTATAATTATAAATCTTACCACGTTTCATCAAAATTTTTTGCTTATAACCAGAATAAATAATTTTATTTTATAATTAAATCAATTTTCAAACTTATTGATTATCATGTTTTATTTATAATAGTTTTATTTATAATAGTTTTGTGATTATTACCCTAAACATAATACCAATGCTTTAAAAAAATGTTTAAACAAACTTACGCTATTTTTTAATGGGAACTTTAAATAAATAATTGTAAATTAAAGTGATTATATAAAAATAATTTTTGAAAGGTATAATAATCATTGTGAAATGAATTGTACTAAATTTCAGTGAAAAACATGTCATCGTCTATTAATTTAATTAGTTGTTTTAAGGTTCATAATAGTTGATCTATAAACGGTAATAAATATTTTAAGCTAATGCATCTACAAATGATAATAAAGAATTACGAATATATTAATGAGAACTATTGATATATTTGAAAAGCCGAATAAATATAAAATTAAATTATATATTAGCAATAGTATAAAAACTATTTATAGTGATTTTGAAGAGTTTTAATCAAAATGTTAACAAATATACAACAAAACGTATATTTCAACATGCGTTTTGTTAAATATGAATGATATCGAGTAACTTTACTAACAACGAAATAACGAATAATTGATAACAGACTTGTCAATAGAAGTTAAGTAAACGTATAATTCTTCTAGAAGCTGTAAAATATAAACTATGACTTAAATCATAAGTAGATTATATTAAGATAAGTATAATAAAATAAATTTCAAGAGCAAACATTTTTAAAGTCGGAGGAAAATAATGATTAATCAGAGATATTATTGAATAAATAAATTATTTAATAACCATTATTTTATATAAAGAAAAAATGATGACCACGTTACCTCTACTCATACCATAAATAATAATTCGCACATGGAGCACTTGTATATTTCAATGAGGGAAAATCTCTTCGTATTGTAAAATTTTACAAGAATTTCATTGTGAATTCAAGCTGTTGATTCAATATTTGGATCAATTCAATTTTCGTTCTGCTTTAACGTGCTCTTTTAGCACTTTGCTTATTCTAGCAAGTGTACTCTAACAAGTGTATCGTCACATCACATTGTAGTGTAAATTAATACGTGCAATTGGTCGTACAATTTATATTATATGTATAACTTGTGTAGGTGCTTTTGAAATCTCGCGCCATTCCATCTTAATAAATTAATGGCCAAATTGTCGGCTGCATACGTCACTATATCGATTGAACGCACGTGCGCCTTGCAGCATGCTTATTATAATATAAACAATTTGGAAACTTCATAATCGTCATTATTATTATTGTCAATATTTGAAAATCCAACTTGATCTTTCGATATTTTCTCAATTACATAATAGTTAGAATTAATGATATTTACGTAAGTTGTTTATCCTCGATATTTTAATGGAGACGCTTATGTTTCTTTACCAAGATTTATAAAGAATGAACTTATAAAACAAAGTGTAGTGATTTATAATTTGGCTAAAGATATTGATATTTTCATTTATGTACAATACATCAGTGGATTCGAGCGAGGTGGAAAAAGAAAGTTTTTGAATTGAGAGTGAATTAAGGTTAAGTTGTTATTAGAATTTATTCAGTACATTTTATTGCACCATTGTTCTGAAATTCCATATCATTATTAATTTATCATCAATTTAATTAGTATTTATACATATAAGATAATATTTAATTTTTTTTTTTTAATATATCAGTTTTTATATATCCAAAGATGACTTCAAATATTGTAATAACAAAGTCTCAGGTACCCATAATTCAAGGAACGAAGCTTGAAATGCGCAATGCTCAACTTTTAGTATCTACCGGGATATCGTCGTTGGATAATTTTATCGGTAGGTTTTCACTAATAATATATACGTTATAATAGTTAGATATTTTACTAATATTTATAAACTTTATGTCTCTTATCAGGCGGTGGTTTAGCAGTTGGTTCTACTCTCTTAATTGGTAATTTGTTGATTTTAGAGTATATTAAAGTTATTTCACATTTTAAACTAATATTAATGATAAATCTACTTTAATTTTATCTAATAGAAGAGGATAGTTACGGTACTTACTCAAACGTTATGCTTAGATATTTTATAGCCGAAGGAGTAGCTAATTCTCATTCGTTATTAATTGCGTCTCAAGATACAAAACCGTCAAAAATTTTGTCAGAATTGCCAGCGCTCGTGGAAAAATGTACAAGCATAAAGGACAACTCTAGTAATAGTAAAAACGATATGAAAATTGCTTGGCGGTATAAAAATATGAAAATAATGGACATATCTGTGGAGGATAGCTTCGCACATTATTATGATCTTAGCGACAAAATGGACAAAGTAAGTTTGGATAAGTCAAAGACAGTGTTGTGGGACGGGGAAAACATAGAGTGTGAAAATAATATTTTCAACAATAAGGCCTATATGGATTTGCTATTGAATATCGAAGAAACCATATCTCAAGGACAGCATTCGATCACGGGAACGACAAAAAATAAAAATATCTTGCGAATAGCAATTAATTCTCTAGGGTCAAGATCGTGGCTATCCGATTCCAAAGCGAACACCCAAGAGGATCTATTAAAATTCACGTACATGCTCAGAGCTCTGCTGCGGCAGTCCTTTGCAGTTGCGATTATTACCGTTCCCGTTCTTAACTTTGCCGACTATACGGTAATAATAGTTCCCGAAGAATAATATTATCGCGAATGCCAATCGATAGCTTATCATTTTTAACGCTTCGCTTACAGACTGGAATCGTGCAAAGATTGGAGCACTTATCCGACACGGTTATTGGCTTAGATTCATTCGCCGGCTCGTCAAAAGAGACTAATC